TGGATATTAAGTAAAGATCATGTTCCATGAAGATGTTTTGTAAATTTCCTACCATAAATATTTTGATTAGTAATATGCATTAAGAACTTGATTTGGACAACTTTAAAGGTGATTTTCTCAATATTTGGATTGATTTTTTTTGCACCCTCAGATTCCAGATTTTCAAATAGTTGTATCTCTGCCAAATATTGTCCTATTTCGAAAAATTGAGCCTTATGACTAGTTTTGTGGTCCAGGGTGATATGCTAGTCAACAGGCACCTTCATTTTATGAGTTAAAAAAGCAGATATAAAAACAAACAATTTATATGTGGCTCGTGATGATATATTGTGGTCTTATGAAGTGAAACGATTGGTCTGTGTAAGGAAGTGAATGTTATTTACAACATAATCCATAACCTCAAATTAATGGTCCTGCATGCTAGTGTTTTCTCTCGTATACTATTGACACTGTTGTTGTCTACAACAGAGAGGGAGGACATGTGTGCAGAAGGTGGCTTAGTATATAGAAGGTGGCAATATATTTCACTTGTGTTGTATTTTTCATCAAAATGGTACTTATGCTTATCCTGGATGACAAGTGACAATCCTTTTGGAAACAACAACAGTGTCAGTTAACGTACATGCATATGTCATTAGCATCTTAAAAATTGTAAATCACCAAGGACGACAGTTTCCGCTAAAATCTTTATTGTTTTACTGTAGAAAGAAAGTCACCTACATCTTGGATGACCTGAGGGTGAGTTAAATTAACAGCAAATATTCAGTTTTGGGTGAAATTCCTTTCTCTGTAAAATATTCCCACAGAGTAGAGCAGAAATACATGTTAGCAATGCCAGATTATGTTTATATTTGCATAATATCTACTGTAATACCAAAAATTTGATTATAGAGGGGTACTGGATGAAGGAAATCAGTGTTTTCTCAGTTGCTGTTGTTAAAAATGGCAAGCATGGTCTTACGTTGCATGTCAGGCATGGGAGCGGTTCAGTCTCTGGGGCAGGTCCTCATCATCTTCCCATGTTGTTTTTGGCGGTTAGCATAAATTTGTCAATTTGTCAGTGACACTAAGAATGTCTGTGAATGTTTCTTGGGGGTCACACTGGAGAATGTTTTCTCAGGCTGGAGTTTGAAGTGAGCTGGGTGACAAAATACATGTCTAACTACTTGATATGAGCTAAACAGCTTAAATCTGTTTCTGTTACGAGTAATTTCTACTCAGAAACATGGAATATCACATTTTGAGTATATATACTGATATATCAGTGAATTGTAAACATGCCTCGATTTAAAATAGCAACAAGCTATTTCACAGAACAAGCTTTTTTTCTGTCTATCTTGGGCACTAAATAGGGCAAATGATGTCATGATGGAATGCTTTTATCTTAAAGAGGACTGGATCTAGTGGAGCTGGAACACATGGGCAGCACTGAGAGCAGCGCAGACAGAAAGAGGCTGGGCAAAAGAGTTTTTTTAAATAGAGGCCTGAATGCATCAAGGTACCAGGTGTTTACCAGGTCTTATTTGGCTTTTTTATTAAGCAGCTGGCTGTCATGTGCCCAATTTTTTTTTTAATTGCTACCAGGCTTACATAGACACTGAAGCAAGACGAAAAGAATGTTAAAGAATTGTAGTTCTTTGTGTTAGCTTGACATATTTGAGTCTAGAAGTGAAGATTCAGATTCAAATCTTAACCTAATATATTTACATATTAAAATGGTTTAAAAGTATATTAAAGCATTCATTTAATGAAATTTAATATTGACAAACATATCGACTAACATTTTTTACTTCACTTCAAACTAAGTCACAGTAGAAGCATTGCATATCTCTGTACAAGACCTCTGTAGTGTTTCATTTTTGGATGAATCAGTGTTTTTGAATCAGTTGAGTTATTGAATCAGTTGTTTTTGAATCATTGAATCCAAAATTATTCAGTGACTCACTCATGAAGACAGTAGTGACTGGTTTTGTTCCTGGATAAATTAGCATTTTTGAACAAATCGGTTGAGTGAATGATTAAATGACTCACTAATAAAGTCAGTCACTTTTTGCAACCTACTAACTCTGAACTAACTGTTATGTGTATATAATAATAAAATGTATTATAAATAAAACGTAATATTTAATAAAGATAATTACAACTCAATTTTACAGCCATCATGCATTTTCAATTCATTGAGAAGAGCAGCATTTTGGGATGATAATTTTTCAGTTTTAAGTAAACAACACTTTACTTAAAGAGTTAGTTCACCCAAAAATGAAAATTCTGTCATTAATTACTCACCCTCATGTCACTCCAAACCCATACGACCTTCGTTCATCTTCGGAACACAAATTAAGATATTTTTGATAAAATCTGAGAGCTCTCTGACCCTCCATAGACTGCAATGCAACTGTAATGTTCCCAGGTCCAAACACGTAGCAAGGACATCAGTAAAATAGTCCATGTGACATCAGTGGTTCAACTGTAATTTTACGAAGCTACGAGAATACTTTTTGTGTGCAAAGAAAACAATAATAACATAATTTATTCAACAATTCTTCTCTCTGAGTTACCATCTTCTGCCATTTTGGAGAGTACCCCAGAACGTAATCAACGTAATCAGCGTTGTTTACATTCAGTAGACAGCGCGCGCATGCTGAACGTAAACAAACAAATCAAAAATATTATCAAAAATATCTTAATTTGTGTTCCGAAGATGAACAAAGGTCTTACGGGTTTGGAACGACATGAGGGTGAGTAATTAATGACAGAATTTTCAGTTTTGTTAGTGAACTAACTCTTTAAAGCCTTTATGTATAAATAATGCATTATAAAAGTAGTTTTAATGCATTAATTATCCCTTGTAATGCACCTTTTAATGCATTTCACAGTTTCATGAACAATTAATACATTATAACACAACCACAGTTAATACATTATAACACTTATCAATTCATTGTTTCGCTATGCATTTAAAATTTGATTATTATTCGATAATTGTTTTGACAAGAAATCATGTATTACAACAAACATTATGAATACTTATAATACATTATACCCTTTAATAACCCTTTATAATGCCTTATACATAAAGGCTTTAAAGGGGTGGGTCAGTGGGTTTTTTCTAGGCTTGATTGTGTTTATGGGGTGCAGTCTTGTATGTGTTAATGCTTCGTTTTTTTAAAAACGCATTATTTTTCACATAATTTACCTTTATTCCACACAGCTCTGTCCCTTCTCTGGGAAACACACTGATCATTTCCTCCTTTTATGAAGCCCCGCCCTCAGAAATAGGCGATGGGCTCTGATTGGTTAGCTAGCCCAGTGTGTTGTGATTGGCTAAACCGCCTAGTGCGCATCTAATCATCCCGCCCCTCACCTCAGCGGCATGTGCTCCGGTTGTATTGTAAACAAGGCGTCGTTAATATCGCTTATCAGTTTGAGCCTGATTGAGAAGCAGAGGATATTATTGAAGAGGATCGTGTAGAACCTGTGCAAGCACGGCTTTTAATGGAAGGCCTGTGTTTTTTTTTGTTGCTGTCTCATACTATTAGATATGCTGTTATTTGTAAATGCTACTGCTTATGTTAGCGTTTATATATACGGTTTTATCCTGATTAAAGCTTTAATACAGTACGGCAACCGCACGCACGTCCATGTTTAACGCTTCTCATAGCTATGTGAAAATAAGTGTATAATTGTAACAGTTCATTTTTGGAGCTGAGCTGAATGAGAGAGATGCAGAGCAGGGGGACGTGTGGAACAGTATTAAGAACTGCTGCTTTAAAACATTGATTTTGAAACTTGTGAATCCATTAGAATCGTTAGAAGACAGAATCGTGATTCAATAGATTTTTACATGCACCTCTAGTTTTCTCTTCCTCTTCTCTAAAGCAGCGCAGGCCTCGCCCCCTTTGCTGCCTTTTCCCGAGGGTGGGGTTATCTGGGTTTGTGATGTCAGGAACCCGGGAAGTAACTTGTTGTAGTCCCTACCAGCCGTTTTTGTAGGCATTAAACTGACAGAATTTTAAAAGACGATATTCCCATTTGCATTGATCTTTCAGCTTCGTAACTTTGCAGATATTGTTTATGCTCAAACAGCAACATTAACTAACGTTAAAGGGGTGGTTCATTGCGGTTTCACTTTAGGAAAATGTTACCAACATTTTTTTTTACCTGCAGACTGAGAAACTTTATTAGAAAAGTTGTATTCATAATTAACTTTGTTCAAAAGTGGTTTGGCTTGCTCAAGCACCCTTCCTGTTTTTGACTCTTCATATATTCTTCAGTCTTATCTTAAGTTGCCTTATCATTGTATAACCAACATCCTGTAAGGTATAGACTGCATACAGCTTAGTGTTGGTGGGTTCCCACAAAGCTCTGAGACTGAACATCTTGAAAACAAACAGTTGTGTAAGTCCATAGACATTGCCTCAGCCCTAAAATACCACATTCTGCTATCACTTTTGACAAGGCAGCACTGGTTTCCCTTCACTGATAGTGAGGTGCTAATGGTCATAGATGGAAGCCTGTGGATGGAAGAGCCTGAGACGGGAATGATAACAGCGGGCTGAAGTCATACCCGACTGTCCCCCTGAGGATGCTTGCATGGCTCAAAAAGCAATTTCTCAAAGATTTCCTTTGAAATACACTCTTTTCATCACTTTGCTCAAATGAGCATTCACAACTGCGGTTTCCTGTGGTGAAAAACAAGACATTTTCTCAGCCTCACTGTAGAAGTCAGCATAACAAAACCTAATGGCTTGTAATTAGAAATCTTTACTAGAAGATTAAAAAGTCAAAGCTGGACTAAACTCCTCTAATATAAGGTGTTTTCATACATGTTTAAGAAAATTAGTTATATGTATTTATAAAGGTGGCAGTTGTTTTTACAGTTAATAAATTGATTTTAGAGTGATTTGCCATGGATTGTAATGCCTTAGATTAATATTACAGAAAATATATAAAAAAGAAGGGGGCATTCTTATTCATACACTAACATTTTTGTATTTCAGGAGCATTCTGTTGTTAAAAAGCGCTCTGTGGCTGAACTAGCTGGAAAATTCAGTTGCCCAATATCCCATATGACAGACGCTGAAGTGGTGAGGTTTCATATTATCCGAATATGATCACATCCTCTCTGCTTTCGCACTTCAACTTCCTAATATCTCCTTTTTTTCAGGAAGGTGTCCTCAGGCACAGATATTAATAAGGGGAAATGTTATGCAATGCAGAAATACCATGCTGCATGTCTATGCAGGTGACAGATGGGTTATCTTGTTTTTTTACAACTACTTTCCTGCCTTTTTCCCCTTTTGCAAGCCCTGTCGCTCACTTTAGTATTTCTTAAACATTTCCTCATGGCAAACTCTCAAGTACACTCCTAAAAATAAAGGTGCTTCACGATGCCATAGAAGAACCTTTTTGTCTAAATGGTTCCATAAAGAACCTTTAACAACTGAAGAACCTTTCTGTTTGACAAAAGGTTCTTTGTGGCAAAAGAAGGTTCTTCAGATTATACAAAGGTAAGAAAGAGATGGTTCTTTAAAGAACCTTTGACTGAATGGTTCTTTGTGGAACTAAAAATGGTTCTTCTATGGCATCGCTTGAAGAACCTTTTGAAGCACCTTTATTTTTAAGAGTGTATATGTCAAAAAAAAATATGTATAAGTGTTTTCCCGTTTGTATGTGGCATTATCTTAATATTTGATGTAGTCATGTGTAATTTTTAAAGTGTATTTTATTTTTAGATAGGATTTTTAAATTGTTTTATTCTTTTCTTGTTTATTCATTTTGTTTTATTTTAAATATTTTGAGTACTTTTTGTAATTAATATTAGGTATTGATTTTGTAGTATATTTTCATTTTTAATTTTAATTATTTATATCTTAATTATTTCATATGAGTTGTTCTGTCTCTGTTATAATATTTCTATAATTGTTTTTTAAATATTATGTATCGTTTTATTACTACTTTGTAATTTTTATAGACTTTGTTTTTTTTTTACAAATATATTTTTCTTTTTTTTATATTATTGTCAATACAATTTTTTATACATTTTATTTGGCTTTTAATTTAATTCTACAAATGTTTAATGTATTTTTAAATTTTTATTTATTACTTTTATTTTTTTAAACAGTAAATATTCATTTATTTGTTTTTAGGGGGTTTCTTTTTTTCTTTTTTGATCATTAGAATTCTGTGGAAGTAATGTGGTAGTAAGGTATGTACGTGTTTAGGCATGTGGATCTGAGCTCTTCTTGTTTCAGAACAAGCCTGTGAGGAGGAGACCCCCACGCTCTCTGCCGCTGCCTGCTGGTAATGACGCAGGTCAAGGCCAGGATGAGGTGAGACGATCCGGGATTTACGGGGGAAAAAACCTACATTGTCAGTAATAAAACTAGCTTTCATTACAGTGTAGTTAAAACATTATCCTTAGTAGTTGAATGCATATAAAAATTATGTTTGTACACTATTACCTCAAATCAAAATATGCAATGCGTTATAGCAATGATGCAGATTTTCAAAGCTTTGTCTCAATATAAAACATTAGTATTGTTAAAAGTTTTTATATTTACATAACTGATTTATTCTGTTATCCGTTCAGAAAGGAGCTGAAACCGTATCAACCAGGAAGAACAGAAACTCTGCCCTCATTGAGAAACTGCAGGTTGGTTGTTCACAGCAATGTTTCCCTCTAGTGGACAGGGGTCAGTATTGCTTTAGATAATTAAAGTGATTTTCCATCCCATTTCACACAGGCCAGCCTTACGCTTTCTCCCACGGGACCTCCGCCCTTCCCAAAGAGCCCAGGGGTGGTGAAGTTGCCGATGCCGCTCTTCTCCCCCGGCTCTCCCAGCAGCCCCTCTAGTCCTCCTGCAACTGTCACACCCAAACAAGAGGAAACTCCTGCCAACTTTGAGAGTACCGCCGAGGGAACTGTTCTCAAAAGCATCAACAAGGTTTGAGGCTTCGTATCATTTCACATGTCAGTGAATTCAAAGTAGGGCTGCTATGGCAAGCCGTTTTGACTTTTATTCATTCTCAGGATATGAATTCTTGATATCAACAATTACTTTTCAACTAGTAAAAACTATAATTCTTGATATCTGTAATTGTATTTTCACTAGTTAAATGTCACCATAGGCTGCCATTCAAAATCAATTGTTGATATCAAGAATAGACGTCTGTACTAGTACCCACGTGATTACTGATATCAAAAATAAAGGTTTTTACTAGTAAGAATTGTATTTCTGATATGTGAAGTTGGAATTTCAACTAGTAAGAAATCAGTTCTTGATATCAACAATTACTTTTCAACTAGTAAAAACTATAATTCTTGATATCTGTAATTGTATTTTCACTAGTTAAATGTCACCATAGGCTGCCATTCAAAATCAATTGTTGATATCAAGAATAGACGTCTGTACTAGTACCCACGTGATTACTGATATCAAAAATAAAGGTTTTTACTAGTAAGAATTGTATTTCTGATATGTGAAGTTGGAATTTCAACTAGTAAGAAATCAGTTCTTGATATCAACAATTACTTTTCAACTAGTAAAAACTATAATTCTTGATATCTGTAATTGTATTTTCACTAGTTAAATGTCACCATAGGCTGCCATTCAAAATCAATTGTTGATATCAAGAATTAACATTGTTACTAGTAACAATGTTAATTCTTGATATCAACAATTTAATTGTCACTAGTGACAATTAAATTGTTGATATCAAGAATTCATATCCTGAGAATGAATAAAAGTCAAAACGGCTTGCCATAGGGCTGCACGATATATCGTTTCAGTATGGATATCGCGATGTGCGCATCCGTGATAGTCACATCGCAGGATGTGCGATGTTTAGTATACTGATCGTTATATTTATACTGATTGTTTTCTTTGCTCACACTCAGACACAGTGTCTACACCGGACGCGATGGCTGTACAGAGATACCCATTTTAAATAAATTTAGTAGCAGAGCTACTGCACGCGATTTTCAGTGCTGGAAATCCATTTATCCTTTGTTGAAACTTCCGCGTCGTCGTGGAGAGTGCAGGTCACGGTTGCTTGGCATAGCAATGCTATGCAGTGTTATTTTATCCATCCTTTGGATGAGACGTTAAACCGAGGTCCTGACTCTGAGAAATCCCAGGATGTCTTTCGAAAAGAGTAGAGGTGTGACCTCGGCATCTTGGCCAAACTGGCCCATTGGCCTCTGACCTGCAGGTCACGGTTGCTTGGCATAGCAATGCTATGCAGTGTTATTTTATCCATCCTTTGGATGAGACGTTAAACCGAGGTCCTGACTCTGAGAAATCCCAGGATGTCTTTCGAAAAGAGTAGGGGTGTGACCTCGGCATCCTGGCCAAATTTGCCCATTGGCCTCTTTACATTTGATTATTAAATTTCTGTACCTAAATACTGTTAGACTTACCTGAAAAATATAAAGCACTGTTTATTTCATTTGTATCTTTGTTCTGTTATTTATCTATGCTTGTAATTAGTTTATTTCCTATGCTGATTTACTCGCCTACAAAATCACCCCAATCGTTGATTTTTTTTTTTCCAAATAGAGCTATTGAAGTCATCATATTTTTTTCCATATCGCAATATATATAGCAGAAAAAAAATATATCGCAATGTGAGTTTTTTCCAGTATCGTGCAGCCCTAATTCAAACCAATAAAAACTGTTACAGTGTTTGAATTCGAACGCATTTTGAAATCTGCACAGGGTAGAGCTCGACATTCCATCAAGCGGCGCCCGCCGTCTCGCCGACACAGGAAGTCCAGTGCAGATGAAGGCGGAGAAGAGGTGGATAAAACAGCCACCCTCGATCAAACGACTCCAAACGGGCATGAAGGAGACGTGTTTGAAGAACTCAAGACCTCACCGGATGCAGAATCTCTCTGCTCTAAAGAACCGATTGAGCAGGAAACTAGATCCACAGATTCTGAGAAGCCAGAACCGGAGGAAAAAGTGGAGACTGTGACTTCAGAAAAGGAAGAGGGAGAAGAGAAAGAAGAGAAAACAGAACCAGAGACAAAGGAAGAGAAAAGTGAAGATGAACCACAGCTGGCTAACAGTACAGAAGAAACACGCGAAGAGCCAGTCACGCAACCACAAACAGAACCGGACACAACAGATGAGAAAGAAGAGGAACAGAAAGAAGATGAAGTAAAACCATTAGAGCCAAGTGAGTGCAAGTCATATCCATGTTCACACTAGTTACACGCACCAACTTCTTGTTTCATTTTATCTCATTATTTATATTTTGCAGGATCGTAAAGTCTCTCAATAGAGGAAAAAGGTCAGATTGAAGAACTCACTGCTTAACCAAAGCAAAGACATCAGGAGAAGATGAATAATGTGAATAACTTGGTTTTAGATTTCACACATTTGAGTCGTTTGAATGAGCAAGCGAAACCTGCAGGTGCAGAGAACAACAGTATTTTCTCTTCCGTACAGTTGTATTAACATTTTGGTAATACCTCTGTTCTGAGCCGCTTGTGTGAATTTACACATTATTTTGTTTTGTGAAATATTTTGTATATAGTTAATAGTCACTGAAGGACTTTTTCTGTTCTGTTTATGTTTACAGTTGTATTCATATAAATATAAAAAATGGTTGATCTTTGCAGAAAATAAAAAATCATTTCCACGTTTCATTGGAAAATATTGTAGTTTTCTCAGTGCAATGTTGGATGTAAAAAGTATCATAGTATACAGTGGGGCAAAAAAGTATTTAGTCAGCCACCAATTGTGCAAGTTCTCCCACTTAAAAGATCATTAAGATGGAACCACGAGGTCATGACCCTGGCTGGTCCTATTCCGGCCTCTAGACAAAATATTAGCTACAAATATGCATATAGAAATATCTTCTTCCTCTTAGAAAATCTTCTAATCAGGGCACTGACAGATTTTCAGCGTTAGGCCTGTTCTCATCCCTGGGATCTGTGCTGAGCTCATGGAAGCTCTAGTGAGGCACAGATTATCATTTAAATCTCGCTCATTAAGCATGTGTTCTGTTTTAATATTCACACTGAACACTACTACGACTGGTATATTTAACTATGGCATGGACCCAATTATCATGTTGCTTTTCTAAGTTGTGAAAGGATTCAATATTATCCAGTAATGGCAATGAGATTAATTAAAGATTGGAATCAGATATTCAAGGTCAGGAGAGGAATGATTAACTGGATCAACTCAGGCTTCCTAATCTGGCTTTCACTGAAATACTAGCAGACTTTTTGGATGGTCCTGATTGCTAATATTGTCACAGGAAAGTGTGATGCAAAAATAAACCATATGAAATCGATGAGGAGGATAACCATTGCTATGAGAATTTGAAAATGATTTTCACAGGTGAAATTACAGCCTGTTCACTTTTTGCTTTACTCTATTGTTCTGATTGGACAATGTATGTTTTACAAATAATTATGCTTTTATTACAGTTGACACTATTTATAAAATCTTTTCCAAAGATGAGTAGCATCCTCCTGTTGCTCAGGTTTGAGCAGGCATAGCACACGAGCTAATCACATTTCACGTTTTTATATAATTATGTAAGTATGTTTACATGTGTCGCACCTTGATCATTAATGTGTTCAATTGTTTTGTTCCTAAGTGAGGTTTGACAGAGATTTTTAGAAATGGCAGGAAAGTAATGAGTTGAGAGGTTCAGGCTAATGCTTACAATGAACGTTTGAGCTCATGACTACAGTCACTTAATCCCATTTACTGCAGTGGATACAAACCACATTAAGACCCTAACGAAGAGCACAGGTCTGTCTCGTCACCACTTTCAAGTGAGAAAAGTCAGGGATCGGACTGGCATGTGGACAAAACAAAGCTGGGAGATCATCAGGTCATATCACCAATAGCATTTACACTAAAGTGTTGTGTGACAACTCCATTACCCATGAATTGCGAAAAAAAAAGCTTTTTCACCCTTCATTTCTATTTAATTCAGAAAATGAAAGTGAACAGCAATTTTCTCACCTGAAACAGAATAGTGATTGTACATTTGCAATGATCACTTAATTTAGTTTTTTCCCCCCCCCAGTTTAGTTTTCATTTGAAAATGGAACGACACAATTTGCAGCAGCAGCTTTTTTTTTTTTTTAAACTAAAGACATGGAGTCTTTTTAGTTTGGATTTTGCTGTTTTTGTAAAAATGTTTAGCTGGTTATGCAAAACATCTTATTTGCATAAATGATTTTTTCAATTGAATTTATGCAAAACAATAAATCCTACAATAATATACTTTTATGAAGTATAAAATGTTATGTAGATTCTGCATGATCAGAAACTACATGCAATCATTTATCAAAGAAATGTAGGGATGCACAATATATTTCTCCTATATCAGTTAATGGTCAATATTATTATTAATATATAATTTTTTAATATGATCTAAATGTAATAATTATATATGTAAAATGTTGCAATGCCTAAATTGTAGTCTTTAAAATGATTGGTTATAGTTTTTGTTTTTATTTATTTTTAATATTCAGACAACATGGTATAGAATTTTAATGTGTTAGCAGCCATAATATGAAAAAAATCATACTAGCAAATTACAAAATTAATATACATTTTACATGCACGCACACACAGTGTATACAGTATACAAAGTATGTATTTACAGAATTCTATCACTCCTATTTAAGTTTTAAACGTATTTTTGTAAAATAAGTTATTTAAAGTCTGCATTGAGAGCTGGATGGATAAGTATAATAGTGAGAGGTGGCCTCTGATGCACTCTGCACTACAACGACCGCACAAACGGTTTATCTGGAGGCTGAACGCTGTTATATAAGCATTCTCTACTCTGTGCCAGTTACTCTTTAACGGTCAGGCCTCGTCATTATCCCATTAGCAGTAGTTATTTTAAGGTGCCATCTTTTTTTATTGGTACCTGGATCTAAGTTCAGACATTCAGTATCCTGGAGGCCTGTCTGCACCTCGCCGTCAGAGCTCACAGGCCTGCAACCGCCTGGACCAGTGAGGGCTGCAGGGCACAGCCATGGGGAACACACACGCAAGTCTGGATGACATCCTCGCTGAGGACATGCACCACTGGTATAACAAGTTCATGCGGGAGTCTCCATCAGGCCTGATCACACTTTTTGAGCTCAAGTCCATCCTGGGACTGCAGGGGATGAATGAGGATGCTAACAGTTACGTGGACCAAGTGTTCTTCACTTTCGACACGGATGGGGTGAGGATTCATTCTTGAAGTGATTTGTCTTGTTACATTAGAATGTAACATCAATCAGCGTTGTAATTTCTGAGGACTGTGATGGATCTAATTCTGCGATCAGACCTGTTACATAGCTATCATTTATTGTTTGATCTTAAATGGATGTTTCAAATAAACGTGTGCATGTGCACCAGAGATCAGATTGGTAAAACAAGCTAAACTCTGGTGGTAAACCATTTATCATTTACACAGGTATTAGCAATGCAAGTGGCAGCAAATGCATTTCTGAGTTTCTTTGGATAAAACTGCACAATATTAATATTTACATGTATCATTTAGTAATGTACAGTTTAAATATACCTATTTTTATTATGTTCAAAAGCCTTCTGACCCACTCTGCAAAAAAAACAAACAAAAAAAGGTCAAAATATATGGCAAATATATGCTGATTGTAAATAAATACATGTATAGTAAAATAAATATACTTTTATATTGAAAATACATTTAGTTACCATTTTGCTTTGTTCAAATGCCAAAATATACTACAAAATGTACTTCAACAGCTGAGAAAATACTTCCAATCCAGTCTTACAATGCATTTTGGGTCAGTGCAAAATATTATTTTTAAAGCATAAATTGGACAGTATAAATATATTAAAATATATATGAAAATATAGCTAAAAAATTGGCAAACATATAGGAGGAAATATTAGCAACTAAATGTATTTTAACATTTATTCTAGCAATATTTTTTTGGCCATTTTATTTTACTTTTATATTTTGCCATATGGGGACTGTGTCGACAGCAGGCAATATGATATATGAGGTTTAATAAGAACTATGGAGGTTACATTTTGTGTAATTTTTCCAAGCTCACTTGATTGGTTTACTGATATGTTGAGTCAAGTACAACATTGAGATCTCATAGTAGACCGTACAGCTTAGAGGAGAAAAGCTTACAATGCAACAACGTTACAAAGCTTACATTGATTAAGGTTAAAAAAACAAAAAAAAACAAGCTAACATAATGATCTTGCTTGGTTCTCCTTAGCTGGATTGTTCATATTAAAACAGCCTAACAAATAATATTGTAATATGAACTGTCTCTCTTGCACTTTTCTCTCTTTTCTTTAGGATGGATACATCGATTTTGTGGAATATATCGCTGCTATCAGCTTAATGCTCAAGGGGGGAATCAACCAGAAACTCAAATGGTACTTTAAACTTTTTGACCAGGATGGCAATGGAAAAATTGACAAGGATGAATTGGAAACAATATTTACTGTAAGTGAACATTTTAAAGTTTTTTTTTTCAACAGCTGTAAAAAAAAATCCCAAATGATGCAATATACACTATGCACTTATACACTATGTACTTAACCATGTAGTGCTTCATTCATAATTGGAGTCTGATAGCCCCGACCCCTTCGCGACATAAAGCTGAGCCTGTGAGAGTTGAGTGCATGAAGTGTTCAAAATTACACCGTTTTTTGGTTGTGCACTTTTACTTTTTGGAATTTTCAGTGTGAACACTCTACTCGCACTATTTATACGACAAAACATAACAGAATAGTGCATAAGTAGGGACGCACCTGATGTCATACGTTAACCTCTGCTTAGGATAATCACTGTATTATCTACATTTATATTTTCTCCCACATCAGATCTTTGTGAACGAACCAAAAATAGAAAGTCAAACATAGAACCTGACTGCAGGTCGGGTCAGGTTAACATGGACACTGGATCAGTCTGCTTTACTTGTAGATGATCTGATTTAATCCAGTTAGAGAACTGTCCTCCTTGTGCGGAGGTTTCTGAGACTGACACTTCTTAGAATGGAAATAGTGTTACGTGGCATGTTCAGATGACCTCAGGTGGCTGCATACAATAATGCTGCAGTTCTAGAGATGGGAATTTGTAATTGATTTTCATCTATGTTTCTATTTAAAAAGTTCTGAAATTATATGTTCTTTTGTTCTACAACAGGCTATACAAGACATCACAAGAAATCGTGACATTGTGCCAGAGGAAGTAGTGGCTCTTATATTTGAAAAGATTGATGTTAACGGAGAAGGTGAGAACCAGTTCATGAAAATCCTCATCTATATACATATAGAGATTCTACATCTCTCTTTACTTAAACGTTCAGGTGAACTGACGCTGGAGGAGTTCATTGAAGGAGCCAAAGATCATCCTGACATTATGGATATGCTGAAGAAACTGATGGACCTCACTCCAGTCCTGGTCATTATTGTCGAAGGGCGACAGAAACCAATCAATGCGAGTTAGGCTGGATAAACTCCATCTCAATGACAGAGAAACCAGAAAATTGCCCACCTGAAAACCAAATGAATTGAGAGTTTGGTATTCCCACTCTTGAGGAACAGATGCAGCTTCCCACCACAGCTGTGTGATTTCCTCAACAGAAAATTCTCAGGGGAACTTAGACTTTTGCCCAAGCATTGTGCTGTCTGAACCCAGTGGAGATACCAAGCCTTGCATCTGAGCTGTCCTCAGCTGAACATTGATCTTCTAATGCTATAAGGGATTCAGTAGACTAAGGAACCGCTGGCAAGGCTTAGGAGTGAGCAATGTGGGGCTTTTTAAGGAAAGGCTCAGTGGAGAACACTAGTGACTTTCATTGGATGAGCACATCATATAATCCATGAATTGTATACAGCATCACTATATTGCTCTGAGAGTGAACTGAGACAGTCCATTGCCGACGTGGCCTGAATTGCCCTTAAAACTGTGAAATTACTGTATATAGAGCAGTGGTTCTCAGCTGTTTTACACTGGACATCAAATGGCAACCCAACACAGAACGAAAATAGTTTATTGTACAAAATGTACCTGTAAATCAAATATTTCTATAGAATGTTGTATATTACAATAAACACAATATTTGGCCACAAAAGGCTGACATCAACATTCTTTGACGTTATTAACCATGTGGGACATTGTGCCTGTTTATTTTGCTGTCCGTGACCCATCAGAACAGACCTAAGACCCATTTCTCATTTGAGAACCACTGATATAACATCACAAATAAAGCACTTTATCAAGGGACAGTATCAAATTTACCTGATAAAGTTAGCTGATGCAGTAGGTGCAAAAGAAATTCATTAAATGCATTTCCATATATCATCTTTTTAGCTGATCTAAACTTAGCTGTCAAAACAGTAAAACTAAAAGTCTTCTAAACACTAGTGACTTTCATTGGATGAGCACATCATATAATCCATGAATTGTATACGGCATCACTATATTGCTCTGAGTGAACTGAGACAGTCCATTGCCGACGTGGCCTGAATTGCCCTTAAAACTGTGAAATTACTGTATATAGAGCAGTGGTTCTCAACTGTTTTACACTGGACATCAAATGGCAACCCAACACAGAACGAAAATAGTTTATTGTACAAAATGTAACTGTAAATCAAATATTTCTATAGAATGTTGTATATTACAATAAACACAATATTTGGCCACAAAAGGCTGACATCAACATTCTTTGACGTTATTAACCATGTGGGACATTGTGCCTGTTTATTTTGCTGTCCGTGACCCATCAGAACAGACCTAAGACCCATTTCTCATTTGAGAACCACTGATATAACATCACAAATAAAGCACTTTATCAAGGGACAGTATCAAATTTACCTGATAAAGTTAGCTGATGCAGTAGGTGCAAAAGAAATTCATTAAATGCATTTCCATATATCATCTTTTTAGCTGATCTAAACTTAGCTGTCAAAACAGTAAAACTAAAAGTCTTCTAAATTATTAACTACATATTTCAGACTTGTATATAATACCATTCATAGGTTTAAGTTCATTAAGAATTTTATTTTAGTTTATATTTATTTTGGGGGGAAAACTTTTATGCAGTAAGGACACATTAAACTGATCAAAGGTGACAGTAAAAAAAATGCTGTTATTCTATTATAATGTTACCAAAGATTTCTACTAAAAAAATGCTGTTATTCTATTATAATGTTACCAAAGATTTCTACTAAAAAAATGCTGTTATTCTATTATAATGTTACCAAAGATTTCTACAAAAAAATGCTGTTATTCTATTAATCAAAACATCCTGAAAAAAGTATCACAGTTTCCACAAAAAAATAAGCAACACAGCCGTTTTCAATATTGATAATAATAAGAAATGTTTCTTAAATATCAAATCAGCATATCAGAATGATTTCTTAAGGATCATGTGACACTGAAGACAGGATTAATGATGCTGAAAATTCAGCTTTGCATCACAGAAATAAATTATACATTAAAATGCATTAAAACAGAAAACTGTTACTATAAATTGTAATAATATTTCACAATATTACTGTTTTTACTTTATTTTTATCAAATAAATGCAGCCTTGGTGAGCATAAAAAAACACATAAAAAATCTTACTGACCCCAAAAATCTGAATTTGTAATGCACATATTTAAATGAATATTTCTGTAATTTCAATGTTTAGAGGTCTGCATGTGTTTGTTTTACCAGTCTTGAGTCCTTTGGATAAGCCTTGCACTGGAAAGCACAAGCAAATCACAAAAGGACTCTAAAAGTGCTTTTACTCTTGGAAATATTTTAACAGCATCACTAATAAGCAGACAGTTACAATATGTTTGTCTTGACTGAGGCTTGGTCTTTTAACACTAAATTTAAATTGCATTCAATAGATAAACACTAGTGAGACATTGCTCAGTTGATGCACACCAGAGATCGGGGGCCTTGTTTATAAAATGTGAACCTGGACCACAAAACCAGTCATAAGTAGCACAGGTATATTTGTAACAGTAGCCAACAATACATTGTATGGGTCAAAATTATCGATTTTTCTTTTATGCCATAAATCATTAGGATATTAAGTAAAGATCATGTTCCATGAAGATATTTTGTAAATTTCCTACCATAAATATATCAAAACTTAATTTTTGATTAATGATATGCATTGCAAAGAACTTCATTTGGACAAATTTAAAGACGATTTTCTCAATATTTTAATTTTTTTGCACCCTCAGATTCCAGATTTTCAGATAGTTGTATCTCGGCCAAATATTGTCCTATCCTAACAAACCATACATCAATGAAAAATGATGTATAAATCTCAATTTTAAAAAATTGACCCTTATGACTGGTTTTGTGGTCCAGTGTCACAAATGTTGTGTATAAACCGTTCTACATTTGATCTAAGATCATTCCTCAAATATACATACGTGTGAACAAACATACGCACAAAAAAGTGCAAACACCTGCTAAGAACCTGAAGTGACACTAAGCACTTTTCCACATCGATGATCGATTTTATCAAATTTGAACGTTGGCATGGATTTTGTGTTATAAATGTGGCCCCGGAACTGAGGCAGTAAGATGGAATTTATTTAGCATGATGTGACTTCCACAACTGTTTTTGTAATGTTGAGTTGGCACCTTCACAAGAAGACAAGTGAGAACTGGTTTTGATTTCTTTGTTTTCTAAATAATGTTTTTAATGGAAGACACAAATGCTCGATATGAAGCTTTGAGATTATCGTTTTCATACCCTGCACTGCACACTTGCCTCCAGTGACGAATCTCTGTATTTGATGATTTTCACTCTAGAAATATTTCAGGAAAAACAATGAGGAATCATCTTACTGTACTTAGAATCAGGTAATATGTCAACTGGTATGGAATATTTATGTTGCGTTATTAATAAAATGGTTTAAACAAACCAATGTTTAAAAGCAGGCCATTTTAGTTTTATTGGTATACTGCAATACTATTTATTAATATTTGAAATTAGTTTTTATTTTGCATATTTATATAGTTAATTTTTTTTTTTTTTATGTTAATTAGTTTTGGTATGCGCTTTCATCATTTTTATTAGCTTCTGTAGTATTTCTATTTAGCTTTATTTTTATTTCATTTTTAGTAATTGTAGTACTTGCATTTATTTCAGCAACATTTCTTTATTTTTTTGTTTTTCAGTCTAATATTTATATTTAAATTATTTCAGCTTTATTTCAAAATACGTTTTAATAGTTTCAGTTGATAATAACAACACTGCAGGCCATTGGCAGGTTTACTAAGCAAATACATTTATAGAAACACCTTTAAAAAGAAACATTTGTATCCATATGCTACATTATATCATTATTTAAAGAAATAAACAACTGAGTACCAAGATACTCATATCCCACAAACCATCTCCAAACAAATCCCAAGATATCAGCTACAAATCATTCATTTTTTGTCCAACTCATCAGAAATGAACAGTCTCCAGCACCTAAATCACACGATTCACTGCGTTTTAATCTTTTTAGTGCTGTCTGAACATGTCAGCAATGAAATGTATAGTCTGATGAAGGCATATGTCACTCCCAGCGCACAGTAAACGGAGGTGAGCATGAGAGGGAGGAAGGGAAATGTCTTCTGCCAGACTGTCAGAGGGTAAACAAACTCACAGATCAGCTCAAGAGGAATCAGGCCCAAGAGATACGTCGCTTCCAGCGGGTTCAACAAAGCACCGCCCTTCCTGAAAAAACAAATGAAGAATCACATTACCAATACTTTGCTCAAACAAAGACAATAATGGCCCAATAATCCCATTTTAATGTACAGACCTGAACAGCGTTTTTAGAGAAGTGAGACTGAAGATTGTAAACAGCAACATGAGAAATATTTTGATGGGCAACTCTGGAATTAAAAATGCAAATGTTTAAGAATTACATTCAGTGATGATGCAAAACACTTGCTGTGAGTTTTTCTGAACGGAACGTACCTTGGGTTGTGAAGAGGAGTGGAAATAGGGAATAATGACCGGTTATACTGAGGATTAGAAAAATCCTGGCCTCCTCTCTACTCTCTACAGCAAGCAAACTGAAAAACAAGAAACTGTGTTTATAGTAGGCGGCTGGCAGAACGTGCTTATGTAAGAATACCATCAGATGAACACCTTAAAGGAAGTATGGCCATCAGAATGGCTTTCTCATGCACATGCCAACCAAACATAAACGATCCAAGGGCACAGATGACAAGGCAGCACAAGAACCCTCTCGCTCCATTAGGTCGATGCCATATCCTGAAAAGTGCAGGCTGCAAGAGACAAAGTGACAAAAATGGTATATGCATCAGAGCATGGCAAATCTAGAAATCAATTTTCTCTTTCTTTGTATTGATCATTATTCATATGTCAATGAATGAAATTAAGGCCATCTATTTTAATATTCAATTTAGCAATGCAAATAAAAAAAGAACTCACCAATATTGACAGTAAGGTACAAACAAGGGTTGCTAAAGGAGAGACCGAAGGAAGCACAGAGTGCTGAAACTCCTGAACCAGACCACCAGTCATTGAGGCCTTGGGAAGTTTGTTAATATCAAGCAGTTTGAATTTCACACCTAAATAAGTGAATTAGCAACGATCAGGATCAAATCAATTGGACAGTGACATCATTATGTGACAATGCTCATAATGTGAACATACAATTAAATGATTCTATTTTTTTTTCCTATTTAACCTATACAACACTATTGTTTGAGTTATTGAACATACCCAGGATGGATAAAGCTTTATCTGCTATATTGTAAAGTGCCCAGATGTTTGGTGCCCAGTACGCATGACACAGACCACGCTTGAAAGGGAAGAGTCGTGACAGGACTTGTGGAAGCTGACCCTTGATGAATAAAATTGATCAATTAATCTCTGTGATAAAATAAAACAAATGCAAATCAAATTACGCTCACAAAGACTGCATTTATTTGATCAAAAGTACAGTAAAAACAATAATATTGTGAATTATTACTATTATTATTACTACATATAATTTTTCTTTAAAAATTAAAGTTTTCTATTTTAAAATATTTTGTCCGCGGAATAATAATAGGATTTTTTTAAGCTGAATTTTCAGCAGCCATTACTCCAGTTCCGTCACATGATCTTTCAGAAATCATTCTAATGCTTAATATACTGTGTGTGTGTGTATATATATATATACACAATCATAAAATACAAAAGTTTAAAATAACAGCATTTATTCAAAATAGAAATCTTATGTAACATTAAAAAACTCTTTACTCCCACTTTTGATCAATTTAATGCATCCTTGCTGAATAAAAATAAAAATGTAAACTGACTTTACAGTTGAATAGTATGTGCTTATATGAAGAGCTTTGTTCATATATTGATAACAAACCAGTGCTA